ATGTATATTTTGTAATAAAGTGTACCCTTTTTTATAGATTTGGAACCCCGTCTCTTGCCTATGAGTAAAACAAACCTGTGGCTCGCCACACACACTAGGCCACTACACCTCCCACCTGCCCTACTTGGACTTCTGTGCCTTAACTTTCATCGTTGTCCTGCCATGCTTCCCCCCGATGCAGCCGGGTGCCCTTAAACAATAACAGCAACTGGCAGCATATCATGCTGATGTGAAAGGATGGCTTTTTACATAGATGTCTGACACCAGAAGTCATTGACCAAGTGTTGGATTTAGACGACTTCAGAGCGAGACCAAGTTAGGTTACAATATCAAAATGGTTTTTGAAAAGAGAAGCATGCTGGACCTTCAATACTGTAGGCCATAATGTGGAAATGAAAGTGCTTGTTCTGATTCCATTTCTTTGGTGGAATAATATGCCTCTTCAATATCTGCAGCCATTTGTTCTTCCATAGGGAAAGATGAGACAGTAAATTCTGTTTACCTTAGATCCTTCCTCTCTTGTATTTGTAATAGACATAAAGGCCTAAAACACTCTTTTTCCTTAAAGCCAGATTATGTAACTTTGGATGAAGGTAAACAAAGGTGACCTCCACAAGTGGTTGTTACAGGATGCAGGCACATTAATCATGTTGATACATGAGAAGGTGAAAGGTACTGCTCTATTCTAATAAGGGAAAAACTTTGACACAAGACTAGAACAGAAAGAAAAGGAAACGTGTCCAAGACTTTACTTGTTGTGTTATTGTTGTGACATCCCTTGTTATGTACAGTATATGGCAGATCTGATTACCATGACTGACAAAACATTGGAGCCATTTGTGTGCTAAAATGTAGTTGCTAAAAATTTGTATTATTTACAAAAAAAAAAAAACAGACTGAGAGAGTAGAAACAAGTAAGGACAAGCAATTTTAATGTAGTAGGCAGCTTAATGAATCTACTAATAATCAGAATCCTGCCAATCTGTAATGCTATTTGGATGGCTATTTTCCCCCTAAACACACATTTGTGGACACATTTCTCATGATATCACAATAGGTTTTTTATAATTGATTGAACTGCTCCTCAATAGGCTTTTTTCACAGCAGATGTCATGGTACAGAAAGCACAAGTGCATGACAGTGTGACAGTGAGCCAGCATGCACAGTACCTGAAACCAGCCGGCATCAGTTTCATTATTTACGCCTGTGCTTTTCCTACTGTGAATGTGAAAAAAACAAAACAACTTTCAACTATCTTTGGCAGCTGAAGTACCTACCTAAATGGTCCAAGCTTGTCAGAAATGATACCACAGTAGTGCCGCTGTTGGTATTTTAGTAGTAGTGCAGGCTCACATTCAGGACATTTACCACCAGGACAGTCACTGGTGCAGCCAGCATCTCCTCCTGCCTGGGTTAAATGACATAAATAAATTAATATGTAAATCTGTGAACATATGAAGAGGTTTTTTAGCAATATATATATATATATATATATGAAACAAGTCTATTGCTTTGGTGGCATACGTGTGAAGCGGATAAGTTAACAGCTTAATTGGTACATAGCGTCCTCTTCTGATGTCATATGAGCACATCTGGAGATTTACATCTAAGTGTCCAGACTTCTTTCAGTCCCTTCATCCTTTTCTAAATACCATTCATTATTTAACTCAAATGTTATTTGTGGGAATATGTCCCTCCTTGTGGTGCAAAATTTGTTACCAAGACCCTTAAAGGGATAGTGCACCCAAAAATGACAATTCAGCCATTATCTACTCACCCATATGTCGAGGGAGGCTCAGGTGAAGTTTTAGAGTCCTCACATCACTTCCGGAGATCCCAGGGGAGAGGGGGTAGCAACACAATTCCACTTAATGGAGTCTATGGCGCCCCAGATTCAAACGTCCAAAAACACATAATTGAAACCACAAAATATCTCCATACTGCTTGTCCTGTAGCTCTAATTGCTTCCCTGTACACCGCACTCACATGTGTGCGCTTGCGCGAGACCGTGAGACATGGGCACTGTCTTCATGTGTGTTCACGTGCTTTCACTGGTCTCGTGCGCAAGCGCACACACGTGAGTGCGGTCCACAGAGAGGCAGTTAGAGCTGCAGGCTACAATGAGGCTAAAAACAGAGTTCAAATGACGTTTTTCCAAACAACTTCTTATGTCGGGGCTTCAGGACACTTGGATCACTACGGACGAGCAGTATGGAGATATTTTGTGGTTTCAATTATGTTTTTGGACGTTTTAATCTGGGGCACTGTCAGCCTGCATTAGGTGGAGTTGTGCTGCTACCCCCTCTCCCCTTGGATCTCCACAAGCGATGTGAGGACTCTAAAACTTCACCAGCCTCAGCCTCCCTAGGCATGAGGGTGAGTAGATAATGGCTGAATTTTCATTTTTTGGGTGCACTATCCCTTTAATGTAGGCAAATTAACGATTACCATTATTAAATGCTCAGAACACCTGCAAAGCAGAGTGATAAATGCATAATTAAAAGTCTCAGTGCTGCTAAACTGCTGTTAAACTCTTGTCCAATCAGATTGATTTGTCGTAACTAGAGCAACCAATGAACCTTTCAATGCACATATGCACATACGACTATTCTTTTAAGACTTTAACAAATGTTAACCTTTCCTTGACTGCTTGATGAAGGTCCAGGGATGTTTTTATGCATGACTTTTGTTCTCCTACCCTCCTGTCCACCACACATGCACACACTATTCTGTCTGCTGTATTGAGCTGGAGAAGGAGCCACAGACTTAACATGTGCATGGAGAGTATGTACTTGCTTTGTGCTTCTATAGTATATGACCTGATGGGTTTTTCCACTACAGGTTTGTTTAGGATACTCCTGGCCCCAGTCTCAGCTCATACAAACCTTCCAGCTGTGTCCAAATGCATTAATGTGTTTAGCCTGGGTGCCATCAGGTTTCATTAAGTCATCACCAGGTTTTCCATTGTAATTTCCACACAAGCCTAAAGAGAGACAAGCAAGAACCACAGCAGTCACACATTAGATAAACACTTCAGTTGCATTCCTGCAACTTTTCACCATAATTTGAATCCCACTGTTAAAAGAAAGGTTCAGTATTTTTTTCAAATACACATATTTGCTTTCTTTTCAAGAGTGAAGTTAGAAGAGAAATATTAATCTCATGTCTCTTTGTTCAATCAATCAATCAATTTTATTTATAAAGCCCAATATCACAAATCACAATTTGCCTTACTACAGAGATGGAGTCAGGATATTGTTGGACTAACTTAGCATCAAAACTGAAGGTAGGATGAAAGAGATCAAGGAGGAAATTCACATACAACACCAGAGACCATGTTTGAACAGACATAGCAAGGCTACAAGATGTGCCAGAGAGCCTCAGTAAAAACTAAGCAAAACAAGTGCACCTATTGATGAAAGTTTTGTGACAAGTGAGTTTTGTTGTGACAACACTGTGGTTAACACTATAGTTGGTAACTTTTACACAAAATAACTTTTGTTATATTTGCTGAATCTGTCACTATATTCAGAAAGCACCAAATGATAAAAAAATACATATATTCCTCTGCCCACTCTATCGCCTTGTGGCATTTCTAATGGCCTTACAGCATGTGAACTAAAACAAACAATCAGACCCGAGGAGTCTCTAATGCAGCAGTCAATCATGTCAATCACTGCTCGTGAGCTGCTGTCAAATATGATTCGAGGTTTTGTCACTGTACTGTCTGTTTTTCACCTTAAATGTTTTCAGAGACATATTTTAGTGTGCTCTTTAGCTGTAGTATGTGAAAGTTGGTCCGGCTGCTGGGTGGGTACATCTGTTGACTGTCTCCATAGCAGCCAAGTCACAAACTTTCTCATTTTACAGCTACAGTAAAATTTGTCTCTGAAAACATTTAAGGAGAGAAATTGACCAGCGCTGCCTACTTTAAAAGTTAGACCACAATTAACGAGCAGTGAGTGACATGATTGACAGCTGCATTAGAGACTCCTCAGCTCTGATGGTTGTTTCTAGGTCAACCCGGACTCACTCCAAAGTTGTCAAATACTGGCGCTGGGTCAATGACTTCCGGCGTCAGACACTGACGGCATGATACGCGGTCATGTTTAATGGAGCCCGGTGGCGTCGGGGGAAACATGGCAGGACAATAAAGTAAATTGGGCGGATGTGAGGGGTGGTGGATGGGTCCAACAACCACCAACTCTTACCCAGGAGGCCAGTGTTCACTTACTGTAAGATTGTAGAGCCAAACCCTGATTTTTTTTCCTTAACCCAACCACATGCTTTTGTTGCCTAAACACAACCGTGTGTGTGTTGGTAAAACATAACCATAGGGTTAGTTGTTGAAGAAAAAAAAGGTATAATTGTACCAATGTAACGCATTTTATTTGAAAGACACTGATTGAAAACCGTATATTTCCTGTGAAAATGGAAATGGTTTTTTTTTAAAAAAAAATGCATGTAACAAGGTGAAGTTGACACGGCATCCCAGAATGTCAACAACCAAAGCAGCCAGGGTACCATGCATGTCATATGTTGTAGTGGACAGTCAATGGCCAAATGCCGATATGTGATGAGGGGAGAGAATGTGTTGTTTAGATAGCTTTTAGGTTAGGCACAAAAACCGCTTGGTAAGGAAAACATCACATTTTGACCTTAAATACCTGGTTTTGTTGCCTTAACCCAGCTGCCGGCATCACACCATTGACCAACCTCTCCTCCTCGTGATTAGGAACTTGCATACACATGTAATCTTAAATGCCTCATATGTATGAAACATACAAGTGTAACATATCTGTGATTTGCAGAAATGTACAAAGCCAACACTTTATTCTGGCGACTTGTGTGTTAGCACTGTGGTGTGTATTGTTATTTATTTTATGTATTGTCTGTTACATTAGTTCTCAACTAAGGAGAATGAAATTCATGCATCACAGGTTACCATGGTGACTCATCCTGGTTACCATGGTGATCTACCCCAGATAGCTAGGTAAAACAGTGACCTTACTTCCTATTACAGGCCCCAGTATTTAAACTGCTGACATAAGCTGCTATAAACTGCATTTCCTGCTGAACGGCATGTTTGTTTGTTTTATAACCACAGTGCTGCTGTCATACTCATTGCTAAAACACTGCTGAGTAAACTTAACAACCCCCAGTAAGACACACCCAACTTACCCCCTGTAGCAGCAGAGTATGAACTGGGCAAAGTCAAGCTGACGTGGCTGTTCCAGTTGAACCTGAGCGTCAACCCGAAATATGTTTTCACAACGCCAAAGTAGCCACACCGGTACATGGAAAGCGTGCCATCTTCTAAAGAGAACGGCAGGTTCACTGACTGACTGTTTACCTGTGTGTGTGGGGGGGGGGGGGTTAAATCACATTTAGTTATTCCATGACAGTACATTTAAGTAAACTATATTTAAAGCACAAGTATGAAAAGTTTCAGGGCCCAACGTGCCTGGCTTTGTACCTATTGTTGTGTAGAGACTTTTTTTTTTGCTGCATAACAGACATGGGGAAAAGTCACACATGTGCAAGTCACAAGCAAGTCTCAGGTCTTTACCTTCAAGTCTCAAGCAAGTCCCAAGTTAGTTATGGTGAGAACCAAGCAAGTCAAGTCCAGTCCCTGCTATAAGTCAAGCGAGTCAAGTCGAGTCATTGCTCAGGTCAAGCAAGTCACAAGTCAAATCATATGTCACATACAGCAAACATCTCACGATCTGCTAGCTACATGTCCTCTGAATATGCTGTGAAAAAGTCCGGTCTCTTTAGGCAGCCCAGGCTCCGCAAATGGCAACAAAAACATGTGGGTCCAGGCCGCACCAACCAGCCAGCGCGAGACCAGCAAAAGCAAGCACACACACATGAACGCGGTGCCCATGTCTCATGGTCTCGCGCAAGTGCGCACACGTGAACACGGTGCCCACAGAGGCAGTTAGAGCTACAGGCTACAATGAGGCTAAAAACAGAGTTCAAACAGGGCTCTATCTTAACCTCTACGCTAAAAATTTAGGAGCACAGAAAGAAATTTAGGAGCACAGTGAAAATTTTAAATAACACATTTAATAGGAAAAGCCACAAATATTTTTCCTTGAGCTTTTCGAAGTGACTGGTGGAAAATGTATGACCCTTAGATTAGATTTTTAAAATTTAGCCAAGTTCATCCGATGAACTCAGCTAAATTTGATCCCCCCCCCCCAGGGGGGATCAAAATAAAATAAATAAATAAAATAAAAATCAACCAGCAACCCTCCTCCTCTGATAAGTTAAGAACAGTCCCTTATCAGTGCATAAACCACACACATCATGCAGCCCGGTTGGTATATTTTAGTACATTCCCTAATAGACCCACAGTGGGCTGGGTGCTAACAGTCACTGTGGAGCATGACACCTACGAAGAGGAAATTATTGGACCTGGAGCCGGGCTTCTCAGTCGCCGGTAAACCGTTATCTTGCGGTGGTGGCCATAGTGGTCCGCCGTATTCCTGTCTGTGACCCCCGTTCAACCCACAACTGGCAGGTCAAGTCATGTGACTTAAGTCCCCCATCTCTGCTGCATAATCATATTTTTGAGGTTGGATGCTTGAAAAATTGGCACACATGTTAGAACTGGTGAAAATGACAAATTTCTGCTGTGAGTGGGCTGGGGCTTAGCCCGCATGTTTCATAGTGCCCCCAAACACACTACCAGGTTGGGATTAACTTCTTTTGGTGTTCACAAAATTTGAGTCGATTATTGTGCTCATTAAGAGCATGTTACTTTAAAAAAAAAAATCGCCTTGTTGTTCAGCCACTTTTGATTTCATGCTTTATTATAATATGAAGACATGTTTGTGAACTTTAGGATGCACAAAAACTCACAAAACTTTGTGCCCATGGTTATATTAGAAATTACTTTGATTTTGGTGCTACAGTTGGACTTAGGCTGGCACGTTGGCTCTTTAGTGCCTCCAATTACTTTTAGCCTTTGAATGCATTTTTTAAGCCCTTGATATACTCAAAAACCCATGAAACTTTGTGCATGCAGTGAAACCTGTGAACATTGTGAGAATTTACAGTGATTGCGTTCATATGTCTTACCAGTATTATCCCTGGTCTGGCACGACTCATGCTGACAGTGATGTTAGAGAATACAGTAAGAGAGACTGACTTGGTATAAGACACAGCCTTGTTACGCCCTCTGTTGTCATTTTGGACCAGTACTCGGAATGGTTCCAGGTCCAGGTCAGATCCCTTGATGACTTGGGACAGGACATAGGTACAAGTGCCCTGGAAATCAAACCGCTGTTTGTCAAAGCTTTTGTAATGGGGGTCTCCAGTGGCCTGGCATGTTGCGTAGGATGTTGGGTAGCAGTCCCTAACACCTCCCTTTAAGGCACAGTGCTCATTCTTCTTACAGGTAACCGATTTGCACTATACCAGAAGGAGAAAACAGAATGGAACAGAATATCAATTCACAGTGATGAAAGTAAAACAAGAAAGGCACACAACTGCTGCAGTCAGTGTGCAGTGCACACACCCTCAAAGCACATGGGTCTTTGTATAGAGCATACTTAGAGCTTAAAAATGACACACATACACTTACACACCAACCTTGGCTTTCCCTTTAAGGCATTTACACATGGTTGTGCAGGTGTTATCGCCCCAGAAAGTGGTGGCTGCTGGATAATATCTGCCCTGATACTGACATCCACAGCTAGACTTAGGAACACATCTGAAACAAATGCGAAAACAAAAAAACAAACATGAAATAATTAAATATGCAGTACATCATACACATGAAACAGACAGCCAAGACTATGTTCCTCTTTTATGGTTTAGCCAACTAATTAGTTGGTGTTGCTGATTAGCAGACTTCTGCTGTTGTCCACAAGTATTTCACAGGGGAAGATGTATTTTGATGCATTTACTCCTGCAACCCAAATGACATGAGTGATTCTATGGAGCCTATCAAATGGAAATCTGTGAAACTTTTGTTTACTTGCAATGATCCAAAGTTCCGGCTGAGCCACAATGACTGCCTGTGTCCACTGTGCGACTGGATTTGCTGGCTGCTATACTACAATTATGAAATGATCAGCTGTAAGTCACCTGTAATGATTACCATTTAAATGGGTGATATCTGATGGCTTATGCCTGTCTCCTCAACTCCTCTGGTATTGATAACATTTGTCACTTTTAATTAAAGCACTGCACTTGAAATCATGGCTGAAGTGTTGGGTGTTGCATCGCTTTCCTGGCTTACCATGATGTTGTAAAGAGCAGTCACAGCTGCACCTACAACCATAGCAGTGGCTTTAGAAAGAGCCACAGCTATAGTTGCAACTTGCTGGCTGTTTTCATAAGCACTACAAGATATTTTGGTTTCGTCGAGATCACAAAGAGCCAGTGTCTCCTAGGAAAGCCTGTTCTGATGGATCAATCTGTGACCATGGGTCACCAAACTTAAAGCTATTCAAACCAAGGTTCCTTCTTGATATAATTATGGAAAAGCACAACATAAACCTAGCAACATTTTGTTTATCATGCATAAAAGTCATCAGATATTTAATTATTAACGGCTGTTTGTTTGGTTATCCATAAAGCTTATCTTCCTATAAGAAACAACTTTATATTTTCATATAAGTAGTCGTAGCATCATAGATATGTTACCTGTCTCCACTAAGCACCATTCCTTTATTACACTGGCATCCCTCCACGCAAGGGCCTTTACACAGCTCTTCAATGTCCAGGGACGTGCAGGAGGCAGGGCAGGGTGAACCACATGCCTCATAATGGCTACCTTTTGGACAGGAGAGGTCTGAGGAGGGAAAAGTGGAGATCATTAATCATTAAAGAAGTTATGTTATGAGCTTATTGTTCCTATCAGTGATACCAATACTCTATATCTAAACCAATACCACAACACCATACGATTATTAAAGATCATTTGTGTATTAGTTTGAATTCATCAGATCAATCCTAAGTCACATTTGTATTGCCATACTGTATTTTTTTTACCATAGGTAACAGTTGAAAAAGTCACTGTAAACACAGTTCATGTTCAAAGTATATGATGAAAACGTACGACACATCTAGTTCAGACATCAACATGACTGGAAGTGGTGGAAGAAACATTCTCATTGTGTCAGAGAGCACTGTAGATGAACACTTAATATGTCAATGATCCCAGGACCTTTCCTTTAGCAGTGAACTCAAGAGAGAAATCCCATTTTTAGTTTCACTACTAGTAAAGCAAGAATTGGAAAGTCAAAAGGCAGCTAGACGGGGTGTCAGTAGAGCAGGCGCCCCATGTACAAGGCTGTTGCCGCAGCGGCCCGGGTCCTTTGCTGCATGTCTCTCCCTCTTTCTCTTCACGCTTCACTGTCCTGTCGATTAAAGGCAAAACATGCCCAAAAAAAGGCAGCTAGACTTGCTTTATACAGTGTTCGCACATGTGGACCAGTATTAATTTTGCTGAAGAAAATGTGAAATGATGAAAATATTTCATCAATGACCTTTTTCCCATGACGAAAACAAGACAATGATGAGCTAAAATCAGACGTTGATTATAAAAACTAAGAAGAAATCTGTGACAAAAATGTTAGTGGTGGACTATCGGGCATTGAAAGCCGAGAAGAGCCGTGCTTACGATTATCTTCAAATGCCACATGAGTGACAGGTTGGCAAACTCCAGTAAATAGTCTGCGCCAGGATGTTTTGCTAGCCACTGAATCGCAGAGGAGCAAGCAACCACTGGCTGCCAGACTTCACAGCTGATCTCCGCAGGACTCCACTCAGTCAGGACTGGAGAAGGTTTATGGGATGATGCTGTTTGACAGGCAGGTAGGAGGCTCAGTTATCTTTGAGTGTAGCTGTGCTCTAAGTTAGTCTAAACTCAGAACAGTTTTCGCTGACGGAGATGAAAGTTTAGTTTTAATCACCAACTCTGTGAGGACACGGATTTAAACCTCAGACTATCATGTTGCAGAAGTTATTTTTCTCCATCTTAACAGTTAGATCAACACGTCAGAGTTTACAGTGAACCTAGGTACAAATTCCAGTTGTCTTTTTGTTTTGAGGAGAGAGCTGTTGAGATTTTCAAATGATGATCAGTAAGTGTGTGCTTGTAAATCACCAGAAATGACAGTTTGTAAGTGTGTAGAAATCATTTTCACAAAGGCTCCAATGACAAGCAGAAAAGAAAAGAACAAACATAACAAAGTCATTCCATTCTCGGGAGAATCTTTGGGGACAGCAATGTGCACATATTGGTTGGAGTAGACATGTGGTTGAAAAGTGGAATAACCCCCAATTCAGACTGTTGGGACACTGGAACTCCACAGATGAAAATTTGTTAATTAGTGTGATTTAGTGTGGACTGTTACTGGGAAATGTAGGGCATTTCCTGTAACCGCAGCCCACCTAAAATGGCAGATTAGGTCTTTTGTCCTGCAGACAAAGATATCCTAAAAGAACACATTTCACAATTTACTGTTTTTCACACCTATGCATGAAACCCTGCTCAACAAAAGCGCAACTCCTGTTGTTTTCACTCTTTCTTCTCTCTAGACGTTCCACAAAGGAGAGTCACTGCTGCAGGAGGACCTGCCCGCCCCTGCTTTTTTTCACTTTGCTGCCAAAAGCATAAAAGGCTCTTTTTCTCCACCATGGCTCTCTGGTGTGTCTTTAATTGATGACCGCTTGTCTTGGAGCATGGCGTTTAAAATCAGTGTCTCATCCGTGACTAATGTCCCCTGATATTTTTGCTCCATGTGTTTTTCCACAGCAGGGCAGGTAAAAGAACTTTACAAGTTTAACAAAGTTCTGCTAATCCAGTGATACACACATTTAATTTCCTATAGATTCTTCACAATAAAAGTCCCTCATTATTTTGTTATGTAAAACTTTTATTATGAAGCTGCAAAATAAGGAAACGTTGAGTTTTCAAGCAGCAACTTTACAAAACTTGTAATACGGATGAAAGCAAACATGAAACAGTAAAGTACAGCAGATATCTAAAGTAAAAACAGGACGCAGGAGAAAAAACTAACCTCTGAACCACAATGCTAGAAGTTACAACAGTATTGAGAGCTGAACACACAGACTGGAAAACGCCTTTCTCTCTGGTCTCCTGCAGACAGAGGTGAGTAGAGTGTTGTAACACACAGCTTGTTTGAGGGGGAGAAGCAGGGCTGTCGGGGGTTGGCTGTGGTCATCGAGTGGTACCTGCTTAAGGGCGGCCCAGCTTTTGAACCTACTGTGGAGAGGGTCTATCTCTGGTGCAGCTTGGCATGGCGCAGCGTGTCTAGACTGACAATGGAAAAGAAAATCGGCGCGGCATGGCTTGACACAGAACAGCCAAAGTTACAGTGGAAAAGACCCATAAGCAACAAGGAGAACAAAGAAGCTTGCTAAGGCAGCAAAGAGCGACTGGTATCCTCTGACCTACAATTAAAGTAAAGACTGCACCAAAAAAAAAAAACACTTTTGTGTTTGACATTTTTTCTTGTTACAATTTTTTTTAAATCAATTATTTAATCCCTTTCTTAATCAATATATTTCAAATGTGGAGGCGTAAAGAAGATGTTGTTTTTATTGTTGTAATCTATGGGTAATGTGACGTCATATCTATTTTGAGAAAAACAAAGCCGAAGCAAGAAAGCAAACAATGGTGGACAGTCCAAACACAGAGAGAGAGAGAGAGAGAGTGAGAAAGGGAATGAGGGGCAGAGCCAATCAATACACTGCACACAGCTCTACAATTAACAGGCTAAAAATAGTCTATAGACTCTTTTCCCACTGCCAGTAGACCAGAGCTGTGTACACAGCTCTATATGAGTATGCCTTTCTGTGTGTGTGGTGTTTTTGGTCTGTCACGTTTGGCTTCACAGACAGGCTGGAAAACAGGTTAGTAAACAGTAGAAAGCAACATGGAGGCCTGTGAAAATGTTATGGTGGTTACTTCTTTTTACATATCTCTTACTTATTCAGTATGTCTTTCAAACTTGGTGCAGACAAATTTGAATCGATGTTTGAGCGCTGCTTGGGCGGTACTTTTTTATGGCACATCATTGCTCTTGTTGTGTTTCCATCAATACCGTTGGAGCCAGAGCTGATAAATACCTGTGACTATTGCAGAGCCATTTTACCTGGGTGCGAATGTTGATTGTAACCTTTCCCATTACACTAAAAAGCCAGATGTTAGCAGGTGTTAGCTGTTTTTTTTTTTGTTCAGTAGAAAAGGGGCTTTATAATGCTCTCCTGACATATCTTACACCTATATCTAGATAAAGACCTGGGGCCTCATTTATAAAACTGTGCACGGGAAAGGTGACTAAAGGCGATGTACAAACAAAGCACAGAAAGTGTTTATGCACAAAAATATCCTGATTTATAGCACAGTGCGCACGCATGTCCCATGCTGGTTTCCTTTTATAAATCACATTCAACTCGAAATTTGGCGCAGGTGAGTGAGTGCCTCGCCCCACCCGTAGGTGCCTATAAATGGCCAGTGAAATGCCCTATATTAATATTCATTGACAAGAAACTGCAGGAAGAGGAGCACGGCAAATGTAGCAAGAAAGGGTAAAAACCAAAACTTCACACAATGTGAAGTTAAAGTTCTTGTTGGGGAGGTTGATTACAGAAAGACAACGTTGTTTGGTGGACTCAATATGGGCATTACTAAGGCTAAAAAAGCAGTGAAGTAGCAGCTGGTGGCAGATGCTGTAAATGCTGCCAACTCAGACTTTCAGAAATCAAGAAGAGGTGGTCTGATATTGAAGTGTTAAACTGAGGGACGTTTCAAGCTGACTGTCAGACAGTTTCAGTGACTGTCTGAAATAAACACTCTAAATGGAGGATACAGTTGCCATAGCTGTTTGACAAACAACCTGATTTTCTTGAATCAAATGATTTCTTAAAATATGTCTTGTTTTCAAAAACAATGCATCACATCCAGACGCTGGCACACAGCAGCAGCTTTTGGCCTAAAATGCTTGGGGATAGAGGTCGGGGTTGTTTTACAACCATGCCACATTGTGCAGCACAGCACCAGTTCCTGCTTGGTGCTTCTTTGTGAAGCTGGGCCCAATGCAGCACTGTCTAACAGTGACACAGCGCTTTACAATGACGTACAACACATTTAACTCACAGCAATAAAAATAATTAAAAGCCATAAAATAAACACATTATAAAACAAAATATACTGACTCATAGAGGATGACAGTGACACTCTGCACTCGCATCTGCCCGACTAAGGCATTGAAAACGGGTCCATCAGATTATTTAATAATTACAGGATATTTTTGATGAGTTTTTTTTTAAAAATAAAGATACCTGTTTGTATTTAGTTTCCTAACTTGTGTTCCTCATGTGTACACATCAGTCAAAGACATGTTTGTTCTTTTATTCAAGTGCCCTCTTCCTATATAAAACATGAGAGGTCATATCTGTCTTGAATTTACACAATATTATCAAATTCACAACATTTTTCCTTTTCATCTTTTTGCCATGAGGGTCACAGTTTCTCATGTCTCCAGTTTTTGTGTGTATGCATGGGTCAGAGCTTCCGTGGAAGATCGTACATTTTCTTGTCAAGTTTGTTTTTTATAAATCCCAAAGTTTGCGTAGAAAGTGGCGTATGCCTTGTTCTGTGCGTACGCATCGTTTATAAATGAGGCCCCAGGTCACACTCCAGCCACTCTCACATGATTCGTGACCTCAGCAACTCAAGGTGCAAATGACCCTACAGAGGGAAAATACCTGAGAGCCCCCACCAGTCAGTCAGTACTGAAGACACTGAAAAACTTTCTACACAGACACCATGAGAGAGCCCTTAGGTAAGGGTGTGCCCCTTGTAATACCAGAGTTCTTGGAAGAAAGTAATAACTTTACTGTATAGGTGCTATATTTCATTATTTTCAGATAATGGGGGAAATGTGTCTCAAGGTAAATAGTTTGCTTGTTTGGGGGCTGTTGGATCTAAGGGTAAACTGAAATTGAACACTTCTGCTTAACTTTGATTACATTAATGATATCAATAGCTGAGACGAGTAATTGAAAGACAAACAACACTGGTCATGTTTAATCAACCCCACCTTTCTTTCCACTGCCACATTCTATCAGACCACACTACTTGTGAAACTAACCCATAGTGTACGATAAGTTTTAACACTTGCAGTTATGACAGTGCTCAAAAGAATAATATTTTGCTTAGTGACTTACGGCATTTGGTAACCATTCTCCACTCAGGGTTGACTTTCATTCCCTCTGACAGGCAGGCATCACCATAACTCTTCAGGTTATCACAAAGAATCTGTTTGGCACCTGGACAAAAAAAACAGGCTGAGTGACACAAATTACAGCAGGAAGAAAAGTGTTTACTAATGTGTGTGTATGTACTATAATCTGTATGTACTGTAATGTTTAATACGGCAAGATGACACACCGATTAAAGACTACAACATCGATGAGAAGTATTTTGTTGTACTGATGGTGTCCAACACTACATCCGCAGCTGCCGCCTCCTCTCTGGCCTCAGAAGCTTTTACATGTATTATACATGTGTTATATATATATATATATATATATATATGTATATGTATATGTATATCACATAAGCGAGTACACCCCTCCCATTTTTGCAAATATTTCATTATATCTTTTCATGGGACAACACTATAGAAATGACACTTTGATATAACTTAAAGTAGTCAGTGTACAGCTTGTATAGTAGTATAGATTTACCTTCCTCTGAAAATTACTCAAAACACAGCCATCAACATCTAAACAGCTGGCAACATAAGTGAGTACACCCCACAGTGAACATGTCCAAATTGTGCCTAAAGTGTCTATATTTTGTGTGCCAACCATTATTATCTAGCACTACCTTAACCCTTTTGGGCATGGAATTCACCAGAGCTCACAGGTTGCTTCAGGAATCCTTTGGCTCACCTTTATTGATACAGACATCATAGACACAGTTGTCCAGGTACACAGAGGAGTCAACTTTTTTGTGGCAGGCTGAAAATGGTCCATCTAACTCTGTCAGAATGCCACAGAATTTGGGCCTACGATAGTGGGTCTGCTGCTTTGGTGAACATGTGGGACAGCGACCAGCACAGTTATCATGACAGAACTGGTCAGACTTATTCGTCTTCCACTTTTGAATCATCTTCAGCACAGCAGAGAGACTGGAGCCTGTGAGGGACAAAACACAAATTACTGTGTGATTTGAAAGCATTTTAAACGGGGCATTCTAAAGCCTATTGATATCTCAGTGTGAGAGTCTGTGTAAAAGATAAATCTGAGCTAAATCTCCAGAAGCCAGTAACTTGAATTTAAAATCCTACTCCTAACTTACAAAACTCTAAATGCTCCGTCATATCTTAGAGAGCTCATAGTGCCTTATTATCCCACCAGAACACTGCGCTCTGAGAACGCAGGGTTACTCGTGGTCCCTAAATTCTCCAAAAGTAGATCAGGAGCCAGAGCCTTCAGCTATCAGGCTCCTCTCCTGTGGAATCATCTTCCTGTTACGGTCCGGGAGGCAGACACCGTCTCCACATTTAAGACTAGACTTAAGACTTTCCTTTTTGATAAAGATTATAGTTAGGGCTGGCTCAGGCTTGCCCTCTCTCTTTACTGTATGTATCATTGTGTCATACGGATTACTGTTAATTAATCATTTTGATCTGTTCTGTACGACATCTATTGCACGTCTGTCCGTCCTGGAAGAGGGATCCCTCCTCAGTTGCTCTTCCTGAGGTTTCTACCATTCTTTTTTCCCTGTTAAAGAGTTTTTCCTTATCTGCTGTGAGGGTCCTAAGGACAGAGGGATGTCGTTTTCTGTAAAGCCCTCTGAGGCAAATTGCTATTTGTGATACTGGGCTTTATAAATAAAATTGAATTGAATTGAATTGAATCAACTCAGTTTCAAAAGGTTTACTAAGAAAAAAGAAAGTTACAAGGTTAATTAATGTTAATCTTTTAGACTCGATTTGACTTGGTCAAAACACTATTGCATACTCAAACCTATCAGTGTCAGTGCAAACAAACAGTATTATCTCATCTCACTTTCAGCTTTATTGTGCTTGTTTTCCCTCTTAATATTTTATTATTTGCAGTTGCCATTGAGCCATTTGGCTGTATTCCAAGGAGAAATCTGAGTGTATTAATGTTGTTGTACACTATGATCTACCTATATATGTATCAAATCCCTCTGAATTCCTCTCGGGAGTATTAAATGTTTTAAAACAATTCAGCCAGATATCAGGATATAAACTTAACACTGGAAAGAGCAGAGTGCTTGTGTGCCTCATGACATAACTCCCTTCAAATAGGTAGACCGATCTTTTAAATATAGACACCTTAAACAGAAAGTCCATTCCTTTTGCTTACAAAACTAGAGAAGGACTGACAGATGGACAATTCTACTGGTCCTGGGTCTGATCAAAATGGGTTTTTTTTTGTTTTTTTACCAAAAAAGTGGAAAAATCTCTGCACACCCGAACAATGGCAGGTGCGTAGGAGGAAGGCGCCACCCCAAAATATATAATTTAAAGAAGGTTCCCACACACTGTGGTGTTTATTGAGTGTCACACAACGTTTCGGTCTGGACGACCTTCATCAGGTGTAATAAACAGACAGCATCACACCACTTGCATATATATAGGCTACATAGGCTGTCTCATGTCAACCAATCAGAGCACTGGAGGAATTAATTGGACTGATGAGCATCAGCATCACCTGTCAGGAAATGATATAACAATAAATTAGAAAAAAGATATATAGAAAAAAGTATACTATCATGATAAATCTGAACATCCATAAAAGCCCTTTTAACTCTACAAATGATAAAACAATCGAGAGTAAAACATATATCTAAAGGGATCAAGGGGAAGGATGTATAAATATTCTAAATAAGGGCATCTAATGCCAGTTCAGTGAGTCAATACACAATTTCTATAAATATATAAGATCGTGAGGTTTATTTAAAGTGTACAAAGAAGTAGAGAAATATTTAAATATTTAAATAGTGATAAGGACCAAGTATAAATATGAAAATCATGTCAGACAAGAGAGAATATTGAGTGAGTACTGGAGAGTACTGGAGAAACAAAAAGACTCCCAGAGGACTACGCATTCAGAAAGCTCCGACGATTGGCAAGTCCAACCCGGATTTTGTGAAACGTTGCGGAGAAATCCTCAATAAATGCTCGTTAGACTTAATGCTGTTAATTATTGAACAAGTCACCACTGAGGCTGAAGCACTTAAAGGAGCAATAAGCGAAATTCATCATTTCTAGATTGAAGGAATTAAAAAATTGCTATGTGAAGAACTAGAGGTGTAATTTCATCTGGAGTATAGCATGACCTCACACACCCTCTCTCTGTGTTGATCTCCAGCCCCCAGGTCCAGCTGCGCGTTCATGTACGTTCATGTGAATCCCCACCTCTGCCCCCCCCCCCCCCCCCCCCCCCCCCCCCCCCCCCCCCCCCCCCCCCCCCCCCCCCCCCCCCATAAAAGGCTACAGCCAGTGACCAATGGCAGCGCGTATTTTTGAAGCGAAATGGCGGTGAGTGGAATGAAACGTTCACCTGAAGACAACCAGGATCCGACATTACCTCTTAAGAAACAACGGTTGTTGGCGAAGAAGTTGTCGGATAAAGACAGGGACAGAACTCGGATTAATATTGGCCTTGCATTTCCAAAGTGGAGAGCACTGCGAGAGCTAAAGGGGCTACAATCTGACTCGGAGCTAGTTCTTCATCTCCTGGACAGGTAACATTAAATAACAACATAAAGTCAAATGTCTGTTTTAATTAGTGTCACTATTCGACTATGGATTCATCACCCTCCTTAAATCATACCATCTCTACGGGGTCTAATCGCCAAAGACTTTACACATTTTTATTCTTACGTGCACATGTTAATAAATCTTCTTTTACTATTAAAAAAATGAGTCTCTCCTGATTGAACTGATACGAGCTGTGTCCACATTGTTCCACGATAGGCCAGCCACATACGCACACACACACACACAGTTCACTGCTGCAGCTCTGGTCACACACACACACACACTCTCACCATCGTCACAGGTAGCCTTTTTGTCCAGGGAGATTAACAGCTCACAACTCTCACTGCTTCTACACCAATCAGTTTTTATTTCATTGGCTCGCTCCTACCCTGGTTTGTAAAATGTTTAAAATCAGCCGAGTTACTTGGAAAGTTGGGTTGTAGGTACCAGACATGGTGCTGGGACTGTCCATTGTTCTGACACATAATTCTGAAGCCCCAACAGTCCAAAAACTTTTCAAAAATGAAATTTAAATAGTGTGATGTTAGTGTGTATGAGATCACAGGGCTTTTTTTACTTCCTAATGTTTTGTATTTAGAAATACTTATTGCTCTGAAGGGCGTTACAGAAGCACAGTACTAATTAAAGCTGCAAGCAGCGTTGGGCGGGACCTTGGACTCTCGCCGTTTCGGCCTCCAGCTCATGTAGACAGTGCGAATTATTTGTAAGAGTTGAAATGTTGAGAAAACAAGCAATGTCAAGGGTACGCAAGGTCATTTTTGGCAATAGAGGGACTTTATATGACATTACGTTACCATATGTATTTAACAGTAATAATCACAAAAGTAGCAACAGTATTATCAGTGGTAAAGGCTGTAGTAGTATGTGAGAGATGGAAAACACTGATATATAATATGTAGATGCCATTTAAAATGAAGATTCTGCTGCGTTAATCTCTACTTTAAAGATTGTGAGTCACGCACACACACACAGATGGCTGTGTGCCGCCTTGGATGAAAACGCCGCGCTAAAGTGCCCTCTTGAGTGGCGAAAATGAGAGGACATGCCCTATCAGCTGCCCTCTTGAATGATGAAAACGAGCGGATGTGCCCTTTTGGCTGCCCTCTTGAGCTTCTTGTGCACCAATGGGGCCCCATGTCATGCAGTAGGTGCAGACATATAGTTGTTATGTTTGTAAAGTCAAAAATGTGATCTTGGTTGCAAGTTAAAAATGTGTTGCCCCTCACCTTTTTTCCAGAAATTTCTCCTCTCACTTTACATGGCAGTGATTGAGAAAAAAATCGCCGTCCCTTCGCTTGGGAGCTCACTGACCCAAATGTTTAAGTGCTAGTGATCCATGGTGACACCAGTGCGACCAGGACAAATTTTCCTACATTTTTTGGTAGAAATTGTGTCTGTACAGTGAAAATTGCGGCCTTGGCAGCCAGTTAAAGACCAAAGTTTTAGACAATTTTAGACCCCTCTCCACATTTACTCATGGTACTTTCAGAGGCACAGATTAAATACGGTAAAAGATATGAAAAAGATATGACATGGGTGAATAGATGATACCTGTGGCAACATTTGAGAGTTGGAATGGAGTCTGTAGCACAAAGTATGGACAAGAAAAATGCCATTCATTTCCTATGGGAAGGCTTTTGAAGATTGTCAGGAGGTTTTGTGGCACGTCACCTTTAGGAGCCCACAAAATCCAAACCGTTCAAGTAATGACAAAGTTATACAGAAGTTTTGTTCAGCAGGGGTTGAACTGTCATTTGTGTGAGTTTGAAGCTGATACGATAAATGGTCTAGGAGTAGATATTTTTTTAAAAAGAGTATTTTTGAGGCAAAATCTTACTGTGAAAGGGCAAATAGCTCACTTACTGTTGGATTTAGGTCAGGGGTGTCTGCACGTAATTTGTAGGTCTTGATGAGACGAACAAGTCAGTTTTGGTTTGATCTTTCTATGACATTCCTACGGGCCGCAGTGACCATTTTAGTGTGTCTAGGTGGCGCTAGAGAGCCCATTTTGGCACTTTAGGGGTTAATATTTTCATTTTATTAAATGATCACCAGTCCTGACATGTGTGCCAATTTTGGTAAGTTTTTGAGCATGTTTAGGGGGTCAAATTGGGGTTCAAAGAGAAGGCGGAAGAAAGAATAAAGAATAATAAACCAAAAACAACCTTCGGCCGAGATCCCTAATAAAGAATAAATGTACCAGAAACAAACCAGAAACCTCTGCCTTCAGCCAAGGTCCCTAATTATTATGCAGAATGACATCCTACTCTAACTCTGACTGACTCTGATGATGTCATTCTCCATAATATTTAGCCTTGTGCTTCTGTTTGGAAGCATGAATAGTCCAAGAAAGGGAGCTATGCATGTTTGTTTTCAGACTCAGGTCTGGACTGTCAATAGTTCACATCCACTGACAATAGCCATGTTTCCATCAGCCTGTTTAGATGCGCATCTAGAAATATCACATTGGAAAATTATGATGGAAACGTCAAAATTCCAATTAAAATCCCCTGATTCGCACAAACTAAAATACACTAGCTTTAGCTGGATTTTGGTTGATTCGAAAAATGTTGATTTGCAAAACTATGTTCGAATTAACTCTGATGTAGCGCACCTCTCTCCATGGTGATATCCACACTCCGGGTCGGGAAGGCGGTAATGCATTTACAAGCTGGTTGCCAACTGCCAGAAAACGTAGAAGAAGAAAAATGCAAGACTTGTTTTGTTTCCGGTTCTGAGGAAAACTCGCACAAGTTCGAAGTTTTCACCAAAGTCTGTACATTTAATGGAAACACACAGGATTCGTATTTCTTTTAATGCCCATTTCCCAATGATTCAAATCACTTTTGGATAGAAACATAGCTAATGCCATGTCCACCGTGCATAAATAACAGCTTGAGCTCTCCACCACTATGTCCATGCACTGCACACCAATTTAACACGTCTAGGTTGAAAGTGTAATTTCTATCTCAATTGGACATTGGAGGTTTCATTTTGGCCTCACTGGACAACTTGTTGCACCTAAAAATCTCTTCTCCTATTGTCCTTTTATGTCCCCCTCCTCACCTTTTGGTACAGGCAGGTCATCGCTCCTGTCTCCATTATAGTTTCCACAGAGGCCTCCTAGGTGTTCATAGTAGGATGAAGGCACTGTAATGTACAGCCTCATGTTCCAGTCATATCTTACATGCAGGCCAAAGTCAGTGGTAAGGGAGGCATAGCTTCCACTCTGCCTCACAGAGATCTTACCATCCAACAAACTGACAGGCAAGTACTGCAGTTCTTCATTCACCTGAAGGTAATAACACAACAATGATTACAACAGACCGTATGACTCTCACACTGCATAGGAACACTGGTGGAAACTGTAAATGCACTGCAATACAAGATCACTTTGTGAAAAAGTTGTGTGTTGTATGAAAAGCAAAGAGAACTGTGTGAAGACAATCAGAACTTGAGAAAAATTCAGAGCATTCAGGCAGAGCAGTGAAGCTGTGCTTGCATTAACTAATTACTTCACTCATGTTTCACCAGCTGCTTGTCTCCCAGCTGAGTGAGCACTAATACCTGTCTAAATGAAATTTTTATACAACCAGTCACCTTGATTCTGTTTTCTGATATATGAATTAGCCTCACTGGATTAGTTTATACATAAACACACATATAGAAAACATTAACTAGAGCCATTTTCATCGACTAAAACTAGACTAACACTGTAAAGGAAAAAAATGACTACAATGTGACTAAATCTAAAATAGCTGTAAACTTAACACTGTAGAGCAGAAGAACATTGGAGCAAAGATGCCGATGAATTAAAAGATTAGTATGGTGAAAGAATTTTGACTCTTAGTCAAGCCATTTTTGAGATAATTGTGAAAATGTAAACTTCATTGTTACAGCACCACGTTGAGGTCAGTGAGTATCATATTTTGTGCCAGAGAGGTGGGTGGAATTTGCCACCCACGTGCCAATTTGGTGAGTTTTTGTCTCACATTTGTTGCTGCACTAATACTTTTAGTGGAGAAGAAGAAGAAGAAGAAGAAGAAGAAGAAGAAGAAGAAGAAGAAGAAAAAGAAAAAGAAGAAGAAAGCTAGAAAGAAAAAGAAAAAATAATGAGAACAACAACATGAATAATTACCTTCACTGCTCTCAACAGTAGATGAAAGCAGATTAGGAAATCTGTTACCTGTATTTGTTGTCTGTGTCTGCCGATGATAATTGTCTGCTTGTAAACGCTGACAGTTACAGTCCTCACATATGAAACTCGGCGGTTACCTCGGTGGTCATTCTTGGCTGTCACAGTGAAAGGCACGAGGTCAGATGCCAGCTTTTCAACTGTCGTCATAATGTATGTGCAGGAACCCTGAAAGAAAAAAATCAACTTTATTGGCCAGCTAAAGCAAAGTCCATTATGAACATTTTTGGCACCTCCTCTCTCAGTAACAGGCCATGGCTAATCCAGCAGACAAGCAAAATAACAAAGGCTCCATTCTACCACTTTTGTGATGAGGGACATTTTTGAGACAAAACCGGATGTAGTGCTGATTAATAATCACTGTGTAATAATAGAAAGCTTTAAGGTTCTTTTAATGTCACACTGTTGAAAAAGGCTCTAGAATGTACAATGTGAGTTTTGAGGTATGTCAGACTGTACAATGAAAGTTTAGTGAATTGCTACACTTCAACATTTTCCTTCTGCATCACTTCAAAATGCAGCTAAAAACAAGCTTTGAAAATAGTGCTGGCACAGATTTGTATGTGTGTGTGTGTGACACCAAAATCATTGGCAACTTCGGAATGATAACAGGTTGGTTTCTCAGAGAGATCTTTGAAGTGATTTTAACATGTTTCTCTGATGATTCAACTTTCACCTCAGATAGCTCAAAGTCACACAGTCTATAATGGGCTTTAGACAGACATTAATTTTAAATCACACACAGTGTAACACAACCACTGACATGGCTGTCAGTGTCCCTTTTTAACTGTCATTTTGTTCCCCAATCTTTTTTTTTACTGTCACTAAAAAACCAAAATACTTCAATGTATTCACTCAGCCATCAGTAGCAAGTAATTAAGTCATGGACTCTGATTAAGGTCAACAAGCTGACAAAAGCTCTCACAGAGACTGCTTCTTCTTGTATAGCTGAGTGGCTTTGCTCTATATTAGGGCTCTAAAAGCTACAGGAGACCAATGATTTATGTGGAGTAAATGATGAAAATGAGCTTATACAATGTATGGTCAGCTAGTCAGGATTTTTAAGTAACTTGACACCAGTACCACATCTGAGGTGACCAACACCACCAAATGAGACAATATTGGGGTGTCGGTGGCTTAGTGGTAGAGCAGGTGCCCCATGTACAAGGCTGTTGCCGCAGCGGCCCGGGTTTGAATCCAGCCTGTGGCCCTTTGCTGCATGTCATCCCCCCTCTCTCCCCCCTTCACGCTTACCTGTCCTGTCCATTAAAAGCAAAATGGCCAAAAAAAAAGAGACAATATTCAATAAATGGTAAGGACCAAAAGCCACGCTGTTGTAAGACATTCAGAATGTGTCTCATTGTCTTGTAGGAATAAGCAGGTATGTATGTACCTTTCAGAATTCATGGTACCTTCACAGATATGAAGTTACTCATGATGCCAAGGACACTAACACACCTCATTACCATCACAGATGCTGGCTTTGTACTGGTAGCAATCTGGGTGGTTCTTTTCCTCTTTACCTCGGAGGATACAATGCCCATGATTTTGAAAAACAATTTGACTCATCAGACCACGGCACAATTTTCCACTTTATGTCAGTCCATCTCAGATGAGCTCAGGCCCAGAAAAGTTGGTGGCGTTTCTGGATGTTTTTGATATATGGCTTTCACTTTGCATGGTTGAGTCTGAACATGCATTTGTAGATGCAGCAACAAACTGTGTTTACTGACAATTGTTTTCTGAAGTGTTCCTGAGCCCACGTACACTGTTGAAAAAAATTAAGGGAACACCTGATTGTCACAGTATAACACCAAGTCAGTTAAACTTTAGGGATATCAATCTGTCCATTTGGGAAGCACAAGTCATTGTGAATCAGTTTCATCTGCGATGGTGCAAATGAAAGTGACAACAGGTACAATGGAGAGGCAAAAGCAAGACAACCCCCAAAAAGGGAATGGTTTTACATGTGGTGGCCACAGACAGCTACCCTTCCTGACTGGATGGCACATCCATACATGCATTCACATGAAGGTTTGCTGCGTCTCCCAGCACAGTTTCAAAAGCATGGTGGAGATACTAAGTAACCCGTCGTTTCGGGTAAGTGCACAACGGCTATGTTTGGTTTGAGTCAACACTACCCTGTTGAAATTTGTGCACTATGCCAATAAGTACATAGTGCACATAGTATACTACATGGAAGTGTAGGGCAGAAAAAGCCCTGGATACGGAGACTCAGCTGATTGGCTGATGAGACCTTTGCTTGTCTCTCATTGGTTCATCTGTCTCTATCTCTCTCTGACACACACACACACACACAAGCAGTGCAGGCCTGCCAGGTTTATGTAATGAAAAAAAAAATATGGTCGTCAATTAAATTTGGAATAAAATATGCATGTGTGAAAAGAATGTATGAAAGACAGGAAAATCAGTGTGTGTGTGTGTGTGTGTGTGTGTGTGTGTGTAAGTGTGTGTGTACATGTATATAGATAGGCCACAGGATATGTTTATATAACTTTAATCACATTCTCCAAGCTTTTTGCATTCGACGTCAGGATTTCCGAGTGTGCCTTGAACGCCCCACGTCAAATGTAACTGCACCACAAGTCAGCTTGCTCATACTCGCTAAATCTTCTCTGGTGGGTACTTTAGCAATACGTGTCTTTGCTAACTGCTTACGTTTTGAATGATATAAATACAGATTTGGTGTTTAAAATCCAAGATGGCTGTTGAGGGCCAGTGTGGTTTGTTAAGCTCCACACCTTTCCTTATTTTTAACATTTTTCTCCATCTCCTGTCAGCTTCAGCCAGTGTTTTTCAGCAAAAATGCTCTAACCCAAAGAAATGCCTGAATCCAAGTCAAGGCTCAAACAAATGGTACAGAGAAAATGGATGTGTTTGGACACTACTTCTCTGCATGTGGCTTCTGATTGCTCCACCTCTTAAGGCCTTTGTCTGGCAAGTAATCAATCATCTTCTTGTGGATTCTCTACTCCTCTAAATAACACACCAATCCTGATTTATTTTGGGCATGGATATTTAGTTGCTTATACCATCTTCTGGCAGAAAGAATATTTTAATGGAAAAGACAGCAAACAAATCACCAAGAGAAGCAAATGGCATGCTTACAACACCCTACTGTTTTTGCTGCTACTAAGTGGGGATATACAGTCAAACCCTGGTCCATTAAATTCAACCCCCAGTCAGTCGCAACTGGACACAGCAGAAACAACACTGGCTTGGCATGAAAGAAAATATGCAGCAAAACGGGCAACCAGCAAATCTTGTATACACAGTAAAAGAAGCATTCTAGGTCATGCAGAAGGTAGACAAAGGCAATTTAGATTTTTTCAGACTGTAAATCATGCAAAGGTCATATGGGATTTAAAGACTAAACCAAAAGGTATTGTGGGAGGACATTTAAACATCCGAAGCATTATATCAAAACGAGATCAAGTTCAACACCTACTAATAGACTCTAATTTGAATTATCTTTGTCTAACTGAGTCATGACTAAATTGTAATATCAGAAGTCCAAACAAACACGGTCAACACCCAGAAGTATGAATTGGTGCTGAATCCTCAATGAAAAATGTAAAAAATGTGTACAAAAGGTACAGGACAGCACTCCAATTATAATGTTTATTGCCCACGAACATTTCGGGTGAAACCCTTCCTCAGCGTGCACAAGCAACAAAGTGAATGCGTCACACACAGGTGTCACTTATCAATAATCAGGCTGACGCAGCAGCTGCAGGTAATGGCAAGAGAAGAAAAAAGGAAAAAACAACAACAATATATCCCTTCTTATATCAATAATCACTGACTGACAGTTCACTGTCATCTCTCACTCATTGCACAGACAAACGCCCACAGTGGAGTATGTATTTACTGTTCAAGTCACAAGACAGCGCATATGAGAAAAAAATAAATAAATAAAAACAGAAAAAACTGGTCAGGGATATTTGAGCGCGCAACTTTTTTGTCATCTGCGCAAAGAAGTGGGGAGCAGTGCGCAATTGCACAGTAAAACAGTTTAGAGGGAACAGTGCTCATGTGGTATACTGGGGTATAAACTTGATACATCCATAGTGCATAGTATATCAGTGGAAGTAATTGTGGTGTTTAAAAGAACAAGTGAGCACTGTTGCCAACTCCTCAGTAAGAAAAGTAGCTATTGGCTGTCCTAAAAGTCGCTAGAACTTGCTAAATGACGTCATCGCCTAATTTGCATAATTGTCCATATGCATGTAATTGTAATGGATGCTGTAGGAGAGAGGAATAACATCGTGGGAGACAAAAACTGAGTAAAAAAAACACCCTGAATAGGTTTAGAACTACAAATGAACCTTTTTTCAGTGATTTATATTAGACAAAGAAAATTTTACATTTACATCCCGCCCTGACTGTAAACGAGGTCGGGATCAGAGCGATAGATCAGCCAGCGGCGGTTCCGCGCATGTGCGATTCACTTGCAGTCTGGACGTGGAGGGTTTAACGTCTCCTGCTCTGACTGCTGCTGGGAGGGAGGACTGGGCCGTCTGTGAGTGCTTTGGGGCGAGAGAGGAGCTCACGGCAGCATCCGCTGCCCGTTGAGAAGACTAAGAATGATACATGCTCTCACAACAGAGTCTCCAGAAGTCTTCAATAACATCAGAAAAAGTCGCTAGATTTGTCGCTAGTCGCTTTTTTGAAAAAGAGTTGCTAGAGGGGTCTGAAAAGTCGCTAAATATAGCGACAAAGTCGCTAAGTTGGCAACACTGCAAGTGAGCTAGTAACATAAGAAGAAAATACTGTTATGTGTATATGCTGTTTTGGGACACATGCTGTATCTGTTATTGGCCTCTAGGTGGCGAGAAGGCTCTTTGCAAGAGCCAGTGTTATAATGTAGCTGATCATGCTCAGACGTGTTCTACCTGCCTCTGCATTAAAGCTGGACGCTGAGTTCATAAGAAGCTTTTCTCTCTGTCGTTTTTCACCGGGAGTATTTCTCCACAACCTTCTGTGATACACAACAGATTCTGGCGATGAGGATGGGATATTTCTTTGAGTGAACAGGGTTTTTTGGAAAGGACAGACCCCGTCGAGACAAGAGAAGCACTTCTATGCTGGGCCATGCGAAACGCATGGTCCAACATAGAAGGGCTAACTCGTCAGGGCAAGACACA